TTCTTTTTAAAAAATTTCCTGAGGATCCTTGGGTGGCTCAGCGGTTTAGCGCCACCTTTGGCCCAGGGTGTGATCCTGGAGACCCGGGATGGAGTCCCACGTCGGGCTCTCTGCGTGGAGCCTGCTTCTCCCTCTGCCTGTGTCTCTGCCTCTCTCTCTCTCTATCTCTCAAGAATAAATAAATAAAATCTAAAAAAATTTTAAAAAATAAAAATTTCCTTTAAAACATCATTTGAAATTCTGATGCATCTCAAATAAATTTTTCATTTTTATTAAGAAATTTCTTTTTCTGTTAGGCTCCGCACCCAACATAAGCGACATTTTTTTTTTAACATAAGCGACTTGAACTAGAGACGAACCCTAAGATTGAGTCCTATGCTCTACCCACTGAACCAGCCATGTGCCCCCAAATTTTTAATTTTTGAATTTGCAGAGACAAGGTTTATAATTCATCATTCTTTCTGTGAGCACCTAACATAATATATGTAAATTTACTGATTGCTAATTAGGTAGGTATATTTTAATTCAGTAAATTCAGAGCAATTCACAAATATCCTAGGTGGCAAACGTAGTTCTCTCTTAATTTATAGAAAAGATTGACAAGGGATCCCTGGGTGGTGCAGCGGTTTGGCGCCTGCCTTTGGCCCACGGCGCGATCCTGGAGACCCCGGATCGAATCCCACGTCAGGCTCCCGGTGCATGGAGCCTGCTTCTCCCTCTGTCTGTGTCTCTGCCTCTTTCTCTTTCTCTCTCTTTCTGTGTGACTATCATAAAATAAATAAAAATTAAAAAAAAAAGAAAAGATTGACAAGATCACCTTAGGGTCTTTAATCTTCTCAGAAAGATTTTTTTTTCAGTGAGACTTTTCCTAAAAAAAAAAAAAAAAAAAAAAAAAAAAAATTTGGGCAGCCCGGGTGGCTGAGCGATTTAGCGCCGCCTTCAGTCTAGGGCGTGATTCTGGAGACCTGGGATCAAGTCCCATGTCGGGCTCTCTGCATGGAGCCTGCTTCTCCCTCTGCCTGAGTCTCTAGCTCTCTCTCTGTGTGTCTTTCATGAATAAATAAAATATATAAAAAAAGATTTTATTTATTTGAGAGAGAAAGCATGAGTATGAGCAGGGGGAGGGGCTGCTTAGCCAACTGAGCCACCCAGGTGCCCATTGGTGAGAATTTTCTTAAACACCTCTGAAAAGGTTGGTGTTTTTTTTTTTTTTTTTGGTTTTCTTTTTTTCTTTTTTTTCTCTTTTCATAGTTACTACTGCCGTCTGGTAATCATAGTATATAATTCACGTACTTATTTTGTTTATTTTCTGCTTCTGGCAGTAGATGTAAGCTCCATGAGGGCAGGGAGATTTCTGTGTGCTTTGTTCACTGCTGTAGACTCAATACCTACCATCATGCTACAGAATAGATATTTGATAATTATTTGTTGAACAAATGAATGTAAAAGATCTAGCAGATAGATTGTGCCTCCCATCTAATTTTTTAAAAAGATTTTATTTGTTTGTTTGTTTATTTATTTATTCATGAGAGACACAGAAGGCGAGAGAGGCAGAGAGACCTAGGCAGAAGGAGAAGCAGGCTCCATGCAAGGACCCCAATGTGGGACTTGTTCCCGAACCCTGGGATCACGTCCTGAGCCAAAGGCAGAAGCTGAACCGCTGAGCCACCTAGGTGCCCCAAAACCCAGGGCCTCCTTTGTTTTTTTTTTTTTTTTTTTCAGAATTTATTTTTTTTTTTTTAAGTAATCTCTACACCCAACACGGGGCTCGAACTCACATTCCCAAGATCAAGAGGCATGTGCCCTACTGAGCCAGCTAGGGGCACCCCCTATAACCACTATAGTGTTAATTGATTCAGGCAAGCATCATCCATAGACGCTAAACCCACAGAGTGAAAGATTCTTGGGGAAGGATACTCACAAAATTTCAAAGTACTACCCCACAGGATTTTTTGTTTTTAAAATTGAAGTGAAATTCACCTAACATGAAGTTAATAATTTTAGAGTGCACAATTCAGTGGCATTCATACACTCACAATATTGTGTCACCACCATGTCTTTCTAGTTCCAAAGCATTTTCATCACTACAAAATAAAACCTTATATCCATTAAGCTCTTGCTCCTCATTTCCCCTCCCCCCCAGCTGCTGGCTACCACCAATCTGCTTTCTGTGGATTTGCTAATTCTAGATGTTTCACATAAATGGAATCATGCAATACAAAACAGACCTTTTGTGTCTGGCTTCTTTCCCTTGGCATAATGTTTTGAGGTTCATCCATGTTGTAGCATGTATCATTCTTCTTTTTCTTCTTCACTCTTTTTAAGGGCTGAAAAATATTTCATGGTGTGTGTATACCGCAATTTGTCTATTCATGTGTTGATGGATACTTGAGTTGTTTCTAACATTTTGGCTCCTGTGATTATTACTGCCATGTACATTTGTGCACAAAGATTTGAGTACCTGTTTGCAATGGTTTTGGATATATACCGAGAGGTGGAATTGTTGATAATTCTTTTTCGTTTTTTGAGGAACTGTGAGGCTGTTTTCGACAGTGATTGCGCCATTTTACATTCCCACCAGCAATGTACAAGGATTCCAATATCTCAATATCCTTAACAAGACTTATTTTCCATTGATTTATTTGTTTTATTATTATTATTTATTTGTTTTTAAAGATGTATGTATTTGAAAGGGTGAGAGTGAGTGGGGGAGGGGCAGAGAATCTCAAGTAGGATCCCCACTGAACGCTGAGCCTGTGGGACTCAACATGGGGCTTGACATCCGGCTTGATCTCAGAACACTTGAGTTCATGATCTAAGCCAAAACCAAGAGTCTGACACTTAACCACTTAACCAACTGGGTGATCAAGGCAACCTTTATTTTCTATTAAAAAAACATAGTCATCCTAGTAGGTGCAAAGGGGTGTCTCATTGTGGTTTTGCTTTGCATTTGTCTAAGGAAATTGAGCATCTTTCATGTACTTGTTGGCTATTTGTATATCTTTGGAGAAATGTGTATTCAAGTCCTTTACTGTTTTGAACATAGACCACTTTTTTAAGTAGAAAAGAAAAAAAGCTGGCCTTAGTATAGAAAAATGATTAAATGTAACATCACGAATAATGAAACAAACTGACATCATTTCCTTTCTGTTGCAACATACTGAGATGGACACAATATCATCCATATAGCGTACTTGCCAAAATTATTTAACTTGACTTTAACAGGGAACAGATGACTACAAACTGAGGAACATCCTGCAGAACAGTGAATTGGATTCCTCAAAAGAAGTCAATGTTATAAAAGAGAAAAAAAAAAAAAAAAACAACAACCCAACAACAACCAGGGATTATTCTAGACTAAAGGAGTGTAAAAAAGACATGGCAATTAAATGTAATGGACGATTCTTGATTGTATCCTGGATAGGAAAAAAGTCAGTTACAAGGGACGTTTTGAAAATTTGAGTATGGCCTCTGTATTAATATTAAATTTTCTTGGTATGATAATGGAATTCTGATTGCGTAGAATATCCTTGTTCTTGGTACGTATTGACATGTTAAGGGTAAAGGGTAACGATGCAAAAACTTCAATGATTCAGCAAAAACGAAACAAAGGGACTTCCATAGGCACACATACACACAAGGAAAGCAAATGTGATGAAATGTTAAAAATCGGTGCATATGGGTTAATACGGGTGTTCATTATATTTTTCTCGTAACTTCTCTGTAGGGTAGATCTTTTTGAAAATAACAAGTTGAGAAAGTACTTAACTAGAGAGAACAAACTGATGGTTACCAGAGGGGAAGTGGGTGGGGATGGCTGAAGTAGGTGACGGGGATTAAAGAGTCCACTCCCTCTGGGTGATTAAAATAAAAACTCAAAAAAAAAATGTTGAGAAAGTAAAAGTTCCATCAAGTCTGAGCAGCGCTTTCAGTTCTTTGGTTTTAGCATCTTTAGGATCAGACTAGTTACTTTGATCAGCTAAGAACACAGTCGTAGAACCAGAGAGAGTCCACGGTGGGGCGGATATCTTTCCAAAACACTGTAATTACTAAAACAAACAAAGGAAGAGACTGCAGTTGTCATTCTGACCCACTATCAGCTTGATTCCCATCTTTATTAGGCGGCATGATCCATGGAAGGGCTTTGGAGTCAGCTAGGCCTGAACTTGCGTGGTCCCTCGGCAAACTGTTCAACTTCTTTGGACGTCGTCGCCTCCTCGCTGTAAGACGCAGGCAACAACTGCTTGGTGGGATGGTTGTGTTAAATCGTCAGACCGAGCTGGGCTCGAATTCAGGTGCAAAAAACCGCACAAAACAAAGCAACAACTTCATCACGCTTTCCATGCCGTTTGCATCTTTCCCCTCATTACACTCCAAGCACGCAGTGGGGTTAGGTGAGGCGGAAGGAGGAGAGGACTTCCCCAAGGTCACACGGCTCGTGGCTCGTGCGGGTCCCAGGTGTCCCCGCTCCCGGCCCTGTGCCCTTTCCACAGCCGCCAGAGGGGAGCAGGCGGCGCTCATGGGGACGCAGGGATGCCGGGGAGCAAAGGGGGCGAAGAGGCCGCGCGAAGAGCGGGGGTGCGAGACCCGCGGGGGCGCCGGCCGAGGAGGGGCGCGCGGAGAGCGCGGAGAGGCGGGGGGCCCGGGCCGCGGTGCGTGGGGCGGAGGCCGGGCGGCCGCGGGGGCGCGGGGGGCGGAGGCCCGGCGGCCGCGGGGGCGGGGGGCCCGGGCCGCGGGGGCGCGGGGGGCGGAGGCCGGGCGGCCGCGGGGGCGGGGCCGGGGGCCGGGGGCCGGGGGCCGGGGGCGCGGGGGGCGGAGGCCGGGCCGCAGGCTGCGCGGCCGGGGCAGGTGGGCGGGGGCGGGGGCGGGGCGCGCGGCCCCCCGGGCGGCGGGGCGGGGCGGGGGCGGGGCCGGCGGGGCGGGGCTCGGCGGGCCCCCCGCGGGAGCGGCGGCGGCGGCGGCGGCGGCGGCGGCGGCGGCGCAGGCGCGGTGGCCGCCTCCTCCCGGCTGGCGGAGCGAGTGGAGGAGGCTGCAGCCCGGCCCGGCTCGGCTCCCGCGTCGCCGCCGCCGCCGCCGCCGAGCCCCCCGCCCCCGCTCGGCCGCGTCGGGATGAGCTCCCGGAAAGGTGAGTGGCCCGCGGCGCGCCCTCCTCCCCGCCGCGCGGCCCCTCCGGCCGCCGGCCCGACCGTTAATGGGTGTCTTCTCTTTCCCCAGTGCTGGCCATTCAGGCCCGAAAGCGGAGGCCGAAAAGAGAGAAACATCCGAAAAAGTGAGTCCGTGCCCCGCGCCCCCGGGCCCCCGCCCCGCCCGGGCAGGGCAGCCCGTGGCCGCGCAGGGGAAAGTTGCCGGATCCCGGGGTCGGCGGGCTCGTCCCCCCTCCCCCCACCCCCCCGGGGACGCGGGCGCTCGCCTCTGCGCCCGGGCGGGCGGCCCGGGGGGAGGGGCGGGCGGGGGAGGGCGCGTGCGGGCCCCGCCGAGGACCCCGGACCCGGGACCCGCTCCCCGGGCGGCCGCCCCTCCCTGCGCGCCGCCCGCCGGGGTCGCTGGCGTCCCCGCCCCGCCGCGCCGCGTGCGGGCGTGAGGCTGCTGCGCGGCTCGCACCTGGGCACGGGCGCCCGGGAGCCGTGGGCTCCGTGGGCTCCGCGTGCTCCGTGGGCTCCGTGGGCTCTGCGTGCTCCGTGGGCTCCGTGGGCTCCGCGTGCTCCGTGGGCTCAATGGGCTCCGCGTGCTCCGCGTGCTCAGTGGGCTCCGCGTGCCCCGCGCGTGTGTGCACGCGCGTGGGGCCGGCCTCCTCTTCCCCCCCGGCTCCCCGCCTCCCGGCCTCTTCTGCGGAAAGCCCGAGCCGGGTGTCCAGCGGCCGGCCCGGGGTGTCTGGCGCGAGCCCGGCTCCGCGACCTGAGCGCGTCGGCGCCCGCCGGGTCTCTCTCTAGTCGAAACTTTGCGCTCGGGCCGAGCCGAGCCGCGCTGCGCCCCCGCCGCCCCGGGAGCTGGCGGGGAGGGGGTGCTGCTGGAGCCGTGCCAGCCCCCGCCCCGCCCCGCCCCCCAGCCGGCCGCGGACCCGAGGGGGAGCCTTTCCTGGAGAGCCGCTCCCAGACCGCGCAGCGCCCCCGCCCCTGGCTTTCGGCGTCTTTCGCTCCGGGATGCGTGGCTTCTCCCTTTCTGTCGAGCGAGACACACTCCGTGGCATTTGGGGTCCTGTAGGGAACGGCGGCCCGTGATCATCCTCAGGACCGGGTCTTGGGGGATCGCCCTGCAGCGTTCCTGGGCTTCCCCCTCCTCGGCCGCCTTGGTCTCTTGCCTGCAGAATTTCCTGCCCTCCCTGAACACTGCCCTGAGGCCTCACCAGCGCGGTGCTTCTATCATGACAATTTTTCTGTTCACTCGAGATGGGATAGGGCTTGTAAAGCATTTTCAGGGTTTTTCAAAATGGGCATCTCGCTATAGTTAATGCCTTTTCTTGGAAGACAAAAAAAAAAAGATTATATTAGAGTGATGGAAACATACTTATGAAGGAATTGAGGGACTGGTGGGTAAAAAAAAAATCTGATACTGGATTCTTAAAAGGTGAAAACGGGATGGACGCGGTAGTTGGAGATGCTTTACAAAATGACTTGGCCAGCTTTCAAGTCAGGGCCTTAAATTTGGGATTTCCTTTGAATGTCGGAAGATGAAGCCCGCGAGTAAGGAAGAACTGTAACGTTTAGGATCCTGAGTATTGGGTTTTAAAAGCAACCTTAAATACAAAGCATTTATTTTCACATACTGCATTATGTTTAGAAATGTGAAAGGGAATTGGAAAAAAAGCGCGTCCTCGGTTTTGGGAATGGCAATGTGTGTGTATACACGTATGTAATGTGTATGTTGTATGTGGGCATGCGTGTAGAAAAACAGTTTTAGTTAACTAAGTCAACACGTATTTCATATTTTCATGTTTCAGGGAATGACTATCCTAATGGCCAAGAGCCTTTTTTTGGTGTGCTGCAGTTTGGATTTATGTGGTATGTTTATAAAGAATTAGCGTATATCCACAATATCCAGTTTTTGCTCTCAGAGATAACTGTATCTATGTGGTAAGATTTGAGGGAAAAGCCCCCCAGGCAGTGGCAGAGTGAATTGAATGGTTTGCAAGGTAATTAACAAGAGACCAGCCCAATTATATAACAGATTAATGGGGTGCCATTTTTTGCTTAATTCTTTGAATTAAGACACTATTTTAAAGGAATGCTTTATATGATTTATTCACATGTTCAACAAGTATTTGCATGCCTTTTCTTGGAGTTGGTGATAGAGCTTTGAACAAGAAAGTCAAGGCTCCTCATGAAGGTTATATTCTGTGGGTATTAGGGGACCACCTAGGAAGGCAACTTCAGATAGTGCTAAGGGATAGGGACCAAATTAAGATGAGGTGCCTTAAGTGATAGTGATGACATTTGAACACTGCGCCAGGCACGGTGCAGATAGCTTTACACACCTCTTATCCCTTATGACAACACTATAAGGTAGGCACTGTTATTAGTTACCATTCTACAGATGAGCAACTAACATTTCCAGAAACTAGAATGAGGAGGAGGAGATGGGAGTGTGGCAGAGGCCTTGGGGAGGAATGGACTAGGAATGTTAGAAGACCCTAAAGGTCAGGGTGACTGGAGTGCTGCTGGAGAAGGTGGGGCCATGGGAGGATGAGAGCAGGTAGGGCCTTGCCCTGTAGGCCATCAGAGCATTACCGATGGGAGTGACAGGGTCGGTTCCTGTTTTAAAAAGAGCACTGGCCAACTGTAGAGAATGGATTGTCAGGGGTAGGGAGAAGTAGAAACTGGGAGCTGGCCTTCCGTCTATGAAGGAAACCATGGTGACTTGGTTCAGGGTGCAAGCAGTGGTGCCAGAAGTGGTGGAAGAGACTTCAGGAGAGGCCTGCTGGTCTGAGAAGTCCTCATTTTACAGTCAGCCCTGACAGAGGTGATAGTCTGGACCAGAATTCAGGTCTCCTGATGCCCAGTGATTTTGTTTTTTCATTAATTCTCCAGTGGAGGAAAAGGAATAATAGGTCTAATTTTAAACCATATAAATAAAAAGATTGGCGAACCTAAATTGTGTAACAAACAACACGGGCCTGGTTTGATGTAATATGATCTACTTTTGTCATTATCCACTTGTATACACAAGCTGACTCTTCATTTTCATTCAATTCATTTCTGTGAGCTTTTATGAATTGAGCCAGTTCCCATAGGCTACTTTTTTAGTACGCTGGAATTTATGGTTGTCAGGAATAACATTAAGATTTCTCTAGTTAGCTGAGTCAAAAATTTAATCTTGTCAGATTGTTCCAGTGAGTTTAGTTTGCTAATTATTAATTGAGCTGCTTTGTGAGTAACATGTAGCAGGGAGGGATGACAGTGTCAATTCAATTGTGAATCTCAAGAATTAGCTAAATCATATGGCTTGGGGTAGTGTTGCTTTGGGGCATGAATGAATGTATAACATTTTTAAAGGATCTTTATTTTTTGTATGCCTGTAACTTTCACTAAGACAATTCATGTACTAAAAGATTTAGCTTTTATTTTATTTTATTTTTTAAGATTTAGCTTTTAAAGTGTATAATGTGCTGGTTTTTAGTATATTCACAAAGCTTTGGGACCATCACAATTATTAATTTGAGAATATTTGCATCCTCCCTGCCAGAAATAAACCCCATACATACTTAGCAGTCATTCCTTATTTTCCTCTGCTCCTGATTTGTTTTCAATCTCTACAAACTTACATATTCTGGATATTTTATATAAGTGGAATCATACAATGTATTAGTTTCGGGTCTGATTTCTTTCACTTAGCATAATGTCTTCAAGACTCATCCATGTTGAGGCAAGTATTGGTACTGAATTTATACTGCCAAATAATGTTGCATTATATTGATATGCCATGTTTTACTTATCCATTCGTCCATGCTGTGGATTCAGGTTCTTTCCGGTTTTCGACCATAAATTATTATTTTAAAAAATACTTTATTTATTTATTTATTTATTTATTTATTTATTTAGTTAGTTAGTTAGTTAGTTAGTTAGTTAGTTATTTAATTTATGATAGTCACAGAGAGAGAGGGAGAGAGGCAAAGACATAGGCAGAGGGAGAAGCAGGCTCCATGCACCGGGAGCCCGATGTGGAATTCGATCCCGGGTCTCCAGGATCGCACCCTGGGCCAAAGGCAGGCGCCAAACTGCTGCACCACCCAGGGATCCCTATTTATTTATTTTAGAGAGAAATAGCATGTGAGCAGGGAGAGGGGCAAAAGGAGAGGGAGAGAATCTCAGGCAGACTCCACACTGAGCATGAAGCCCCTTGCAGGACTTGATCTCCACTACCCAGAAATCACAACCCAAGCAGAAACCCAGAGTTGGATGCTCAACTAACTGAGCCACCCAAGCGTTTATTTTTTTATTGTATAAGAATTATTATAAATTATTTTTGTATATGAATTATTTTTTAATTCCTTTAAAAATTTTATTTCATCATATATATTTTTTAAAAGTAATCTCTATACCCACTGTAGGGATTGAATTTACAATCTCCATGAATACGAGTCATGAGCTCTACTGACTGAGCCAGCCAGGTGCCCCAACTCCTTTATTTTATTTTACTAAAGAGATTTTGTTTATTTTATTGGGGGAAGGGCAGAGAAGGAAGGAGAGAGGGACAAGCAGACTCCTCCTTGAGAGCAGAGCCAGAAGCAGAGCTCGATCTGATGACCCTGAGATTCTGACCTGCACCAAAACCAAGAGTTGAACTCCTAGCTGAATGCTTCCCCTAGACGCCCCCAACTCCTTTTTTTAAAAATTGAACTTTTCATTTTGGAATTGTATGACTCACAAGAAGTTGCAAAAATGGTACAGAGTTCCCTGTATAGCCTTTATCCAGCTTCCCCCCAGTGGTGGTATCTAACATAAAACATTATCAAAACCAGGAAATTGATATTTACACAGTACTATTAACTGAAATAAGATTTGACCAGTTTTTGTTTATACACTGTGTGTTCTCTCAAATGGATTACTTGTGTACATTAGTATAGTCATGACCAGGATTAGGATGCAGAGCTGCTTCACCACAGAGAAACTTCCTCTTGTTACATTTTATTTCTTTTAAAGATTTTATTTATTTATTCATGAGAGAGACAGAGAGAGAGACACAGGCAGAGTCTGTGAGAAGCAGGCTCCATGCAGGGAGCCCTACGTGGGACTCGATCCCGGGACTCTGGGATCATGCCCCGAGCCAAAGCAG